CATCACGGGCATTTTGGTAATTTTTTGCAATTTTGAGCGTATTTTGGAAATTTGGTGATTTTGGTGAATTTTGGCTAATTTAGGTAGTGGTGAGTGGTTTGAGATGGTTTTTGGGAAAATTTGGGTATTTTGGGTAATTTTGGGAGTTTTGGCAAAACTTGGGGTTGTATGGGTATTTTGGTAATTTGGTGGTTTTGAGCTAAAATGAGCAAGTAAGTCATGAAGTCATGTCAAACCAATAGGAGCATGTGAGGACTCATTTTGGATGCTCAATATGCTGGTTCTAACCCTCTTAGCCAAAGACTAAGGGTACAGGTTCATTCATATGAGCTTTCCAAAAAGAATCATGAGACCAAATCAAGGGGTCTTTGGGTTTGACGTATGTAAGAAAGTTTAGTGTGTGCAAGCCACCTCAACCATCACCATACCACCCAGGGTTAGTCCTAAGGTCTGACCATTCTATGAAAGACTCCTCTTGAGTTCCCCACTGACCCCACCAACTTAGTGTTAGAGGTTATGACTAATATGTGGAACTGTGGAACTTCAAGTTGAAAAGAAGAGTTTAAAATTTCTAATGGTGAGGGTTCCTTTTCTAGTTCTCTAGGAATAGTCAACAGGAAAGTCCTATAGCTAGACCCTAGGCTACTAAAGAGGAAAAAGCTAAACCTCAACCAAAAATGAGGTCAACACTCGCCAAAAGGTAGGTACAGTGCACTTAACCACAAAGCCGACCAATACTTGTGACTTCATATCAGGTCAAGGTATGTAGCATCAAATTCTCTCAATTCCATGACTATTTGATTAAACTTATGGATGCTTTTAAAATTCTTAGAATTACTCTCGAAGGGAGCTATCTGTAGACATCAATGGTGTGGTCTTGAAAGTACGGACATAGACTTCATGTTGAGAACACTAAAGCTAGCACAATCTTGTCTAAAAATGTGTGACCACTCTTTGTGTTTGAGAGAAACTTGATGATGTAGTAGATGAACCACTGATTCAAATTCTTCTCCCTCGTTAGGATAAAGCATATCAAGTGAGGTGAAACAACCATGTAGATACTACATCTCTCCGTGGAAAACTTCGAAAAGAGAGGCTGTGAGGCTGAGTAGAACTTGAGCTACTCAAAAGTGGTCTGACATTCATTTGTTCACTGGAAACTTATGTTTTGAGTGCCTCTCAATATTATAAAGAATGGCAATTACTAATTGATACATCTAAAATATATAGTATTTTTGTACACATTTTTATATTTACTTTTTAAGATATTGCGTTTTAATGAAAGATTTTTTATGTGTTTTTCTTTCAGTACAATCAAATTGATGAAAAATGGTAAAAGGAGTGAAAAAGTATGAAATTTGGAGCAAAAATGAATTGAGGTGCTTAAGCTCCCAGTACCGGCGCTTACGTGCTAATTATTCAGAGAGAGCCGCGCCTAAACGCCAAGTATCCTACGCTTAAGTGTCAGAAGTAGTTATTTGATGATTCATTGAATTTGGATGACATTTCGAAGAGGTGTTTGAAGCAATCCTTGGTAATAACGTGGGAAATAATTCATGGACACGAAAATTCATCCAATTGACTTTTGAAAAGAGGCAACTTCTAGAAGATTCATTGAAAGGAGACACATTTTGAAGAGACACCAAGACACCTCTTAGATTTTATTAAAGAAGACTTAGATCATCAAGACAGGGGGTCAATCCACATCCAACAGCCATCATTCATCTTAGTAACCTCCGTTGCTGCCGCCGGCCACCCTTTTATTTTATTTTGAGTTTTAGTTTGTATTGTGAGTGAAGGAAGAGAATTCAAAAGAACTTCAAGACATTTGGTTCAAGACATTTGGTGGAGATGACAAGACATTTGGTGGAGATGAATTGAGATAAGTGTTTATTTTTGTGACTACATTTGATTTTATTTTAGATTTCTTATTTGTGTGGATGATTTCTATTTTTAAAATCAAGTGTGGTTGTGTTTTCTCCATGAATTCTGAGTAGTTTTCTTTTTCTTTTTTCTTAAAATGATAAGTGATTAAGTATTGAAAGGTAGTTGTGTGAATTATTAGACTTTAATGTTGGAAAAAGTTGAGATGATTTGAAACCTTGTACTTCATTTACTCCTTGATTTGGCCAATTAAGATATTAGTACCTGTTGTGAGAACATGTAAGATCCGAGATTGTATTGTCTGAGTCAACAAATGGTAAGAATCTCATTTGATTTTATGGATGAGAATATAGGGAAAATAAATAGGGAAATAAACTTTCAAGGGTGTAGAATTAGAAGACTTTAGAGTGACAGGCTAAAGCCCCAATTTGATTTATAGTTTTAGATTTTGATACGAGATGTTAGCCCCCATGTGGAGGGAGAAGAGGGAACTCTAGAGTGACAACTAGTATCTTCCTTACATAATTGGTCTTCAAAATTATTCAAATTGTAGATTAGCCAATGTTTTTTATAGTATCTCTATTAAAGGTAAAAAATATAATTGCTCATATTTGGTACAATACAATTAGAATACTTCCGCAATAGATTTTCTATACTTGTTACTGATTCATGATAAGGAAAAAGATATTCTATTTACATTGTCTTCATCTTGCAAATATTTAAATAAGTTAGTTAATTGCTTACTTTATTTTCAATTATCCAAAAAGTTACAAAAAGAATCAAATTTTTATTCTTATTATAACACCTCTAGTTTAAGTAAGAAAATTTTGCTAAGTAGAATTTTGTTATCTAATTTCTCCTGTTTTGTAGAGTGCATATTGTCAAGTTTTCTCTGTGAGTTCCATATTCGAAACTTAATAAAAAAAGTGTTATATTACTTGATAATGATACGTATATTAGCGTAGTATCCCCTATTTAAATATTATAATTTTATTCTTATTTGCTTCATAGTGAAGAATTTACCTATTTTTTTTGTTTGGGATCAAGTTTTTTGCAAAGTAATAATTATTACTAAGGCAATTAAGTATATAATCACATACATCACAATAAACGTTTATATAGAAGGTTTGGATCAAATTCTTGGCACAGTTGCGGGAGAAAAATTATAAAATTTTCAAAAGAGGTTTTTAGAAAGCAATAGTATATAGAGATGATTGGTTCTGTCGATGTTCAATAGTTATCATTCAACAATAATCACTTAATTGTCATTATCTATTAAGTCATTATCTATTGATGACATAGCTTCTACCTATCAATGTCGTCTTTTCATCCAACTATTTTTTGAGAATTCTCTAATACAATCATAAGAGATGATGTCAGCAATAGTTAATAATATTGTCTTCTTTTGTTGAATGAAGAAACGGACATTTTATAATATTATCTTTATAAGGGATTATTTTAGCTTTGGCTACTTTACTTTTTTTTTTTTTTTTTTTTTTTTTTTGAAAATTTCACTTTAAAATTATGGAGTCTATTGAAATTTATATATTTGTATTTATTCAAAATTTTTCTACAAAATTAAAAATTAAAATTTTCTCTACTCTCATGAAAATCCTATTATGCAAGAATATTATAGAATTATTCATATAAGACTTTGACGATGATTTAATGACCTATGTTTTAAATTTTATCATTCTAATCTCCAAGTTAAAAAAAGAAAAAAAACTCTTTTAAAATAGTTTTAAGTTTGGGGCAGCTTATAAGTGCGGGGGTGTATTTGAAAACGACGTGGTTATGTTTGGATCACGTATTTTGTCCGCTTATCCGAAAACGATGTTCCATTTTTACACTAAATGCAGGTCGCAGGTCGACCCCCGCGTGTCACGTTTCAGGATAAGTTGTTTATCTTGAAACGCACAAGCTGACTCAAACGCACACAGGCAAATAAAAGCAGAGGTCATTTTATGAATTATACCATACTCTAAATTTTCTTATAACAACGAGTAAATATGATTATAATTTTGCACAAGATATTTCATTATTATGTTCTAAGTATTATAGAAATACTATAATAAAATAAACTTCTCTTTCGCTATCTTATCTAAACATTTTTCTTGGGAAAATCTTTATCAATACTTAGAAAAACCTTAAAAAGCTTCCAAACCGCCATTTTTCACCCTTACTCGCTTAAATTAAAAAAATAGCAACGATGGATACCTGTCTCCACCTATAAGTGAATTTAATTTTTTTGGGAATATTTTATAAGAAATTTATTAATATAAGAATTAAGAGCACTTTGAACCAGAACATGTCAGCCGCAACAAAATCATTGAAATCTCATCCTAATATGCAAAGCAAACATCTATTGTGAACCCAAAAGCGGGAGTCTTTATTGTATATGGACACCGCAGGTAAATTTGCATGTGGTGTTTGATCTGAACCACTGAAATACATCTTTTTGTTATATTTTTTTTTTATTAGAATGAGGTCATTATAAAATCCTGACGGTCCTGATTTTTCCCAAAAACAAGCGGGCGTGCGGACAAATTCTTGTATATATGAAGCAGCTTTCTACTCCATCATAATTTGTAGGCTCTGTTTCAATAAGTAATAATTTCTCCAAAAACTTAGTGCCCAAGACTGAATGTCCATTTCGCTATTTGATCAACAATTTTTGGATGGGATCATATACTAATTATAAAGTTATTATAAAGCAAACATACTGATTTTAATCTGCATAGATTTTGTTTTGGGTTCTAATTTCTTACATACTTATTAAATGTCAACTTGTGGAGCATCTAACTGTACTTTTAAGAAAATTGTTTCTTTATTCTATCGGGCCATTTACATACCTACCACCCTAAATTCTTAGTATTTACATATCTAACATCTAACCTTTGCTCTTTTTAAATTTGTACCACTCAAATCTTTCACATCACATAAAAAATAAGGCATTAACTTTTAAAATGCCAGACATATCTTTTCATAAGGTGGTATGCATGTGAAAATTGAACTTTAGGTGTTAGATATATAATACATAGGATTTGAGTGGTATGTATGTAAATCTTCCTATTATATTTTGAAATACTGTTTAAGATAAGTCAATCATGTTCATGTCCTACTTCAATCTATAAAACCCTCATGTTTTCTTCTTCACAGCAACATGGATCTGAAATATTGCAGCAGGTAGCGTATACGCCGTCTTCTCACATACAGGAGGAGGCACTCTTCACCATGGGAGAAGCGCAGGAAGTGCAGCTCCATGTCAGAGGTTGGTGCTTTCTCAGCTAATTCTCTTTCATACGAGTTACTAAACTTATAAGCCCTTCATAAGATTTTTGAGAGAATTAACGTGTTTTATTTACGCTGATATACAGAAAAAGTAATTCATGAAGTTTTTAATCCGTCTAAGAATTTGCTTCGTTGTTTAAGCTGCTTTAGAGAGAGCTAAAAAAAGGTAATTTGATGCTGTTTAGTTCCAACTAAACAAAAGTAAATGATTTGAGATTTTCCCTTTTCAAAATTTCACTGTAGTTCTCATTCAGATGAGGCCTACAAATTTTATAGATCTATTCCATTGGGAGGTTAAAGAGAAAGAAGAAGAGAAATATAAGTGCTAAAAGCATGATGCTTTCATTCATTCTAATGCTCTTGGCTTGATGGTGAGGATGGAAAAGTTTTGAATTTGACCAACAAATTTGTTTTAAACATTGAGTTTATAGCTCCAAGTTTCATAATCATAATATTAGAGGATTATAGTTGCCGAAGTGCTGTGATAATTTCATTTTTCAAAAGCCATAAGTTTTTAAATGCCAAGGGTGCTAATTAATGTCTAAATTACGTGTGAATGAATCATGGGAGAAAGAAAGTCAATGAATGATAGAAAAGTGAATGTGATGTTCTAAATATTTCAATTTGGTGCAGTTCGGCCTAATAAATATGACTTGCAACAATAGTTTTATTAAAAAAATACTGGTAGTCGTCCATTTTAGCGCATGCCTAAACTGATACTTCTATTCATTTTATTCTTAGTTTTAAGAAGCCTATTAATCAGAGAAAAAAATCTTCTGAATAAAAATTATATGCCTTGCACTCTTCTAAGAAATTCAATGTCTTTAAAAACATATAGTTGTGATGTATGGCTGGTGAAGTAGTTGATAGTGATTATTTTGTCTAATTGGCAGAGTCCAAATTAAAACACTCTAACAATTAATTAGTAACCTACATGTCACTATGGCTTAATAAAAAAATTAAGAACAAAAATGAAAAAATTATTCCATACCGAATGTCCTGTCTGATCTCGACCGTCGATCACAGCAAAATTGTATTTCGGTGGGCTCTATTTAAAAAAAGAACAAAAAGTTATGATCGACGGCTTATAGAATAATTTCTCATAAAAATGAGGCAATTATATACAAATGATCCTGAAACTTGCTATTTATGAATCAATTATCCTCTTTCTTCATCTATTTTTCAAATTCTCACTCAAATAACAAAATTCATGGTAAAATCACAATCATATTTTTTATTTTTATCAAATTTTATTTGATCGTGATATCTGAAAATAAATCGGTTCTGTAATTGATCTATCGTTTGAATTTCTGTTATCTGCTCCAGAGGCGGGATCGGGATCGGGATCCCCAAAGACAGCTACTTTCAGCCAAACTCCGCCTTCCTCTTCAAAGCTCAAAAGCTGGCGATGGTGGCTCATGATCTCCCTCCTCACCCTCTTCATCCTCGTCGGCCAGACAGCCGCAACCCTCCTCGGCCGCTTCTACTACAAATATGGCGGTAAAAGCATATGGATGGCCACCATCGTCCAATCTGCCGGTGCTCCCCTCCTCTTACCCTTCATCCTCTTATACCCCATCATCTCTTCATCCTCTTCCACCCCGGCGACAACAACCGCCGTTAAGATCTCCGCGGTCTACATCGGCATCGGCCTCCTTATTGCCGGAGACAACCTTATGTACTCCTACGGTCTCCTCTACCTTCCCGTCTCTACCTACTCCCTTCTCTGCGCCACACAACTAGCCTTCAACGCCCTCTTCGCCTACTTCCTAAACTCCCAAAAGTTCACTCCTTTCATCTTCAACTCCATCCTCCTCCTCACGCTATCCGCTGCCCTCCTCGGCGTGCGCTCGGAAGGCAGCTCTGTTTCAAGCAACAAGTACCCACTAGGTTTTGCCCTAACCATAGGTGCATCGGCGACATTCTCGCTTATTATGTCTCTGATGCAATTTTCCTTCCAGAAGGTTTTGAAATCGGAGACATTTCTGGTTGTGATCCAGATGATTCTATGGACTAATTTCTTGGCCTCGACGGCATCCGTGGCAGGGCTTTTTGTCAGCGGAGAGTGGAAGGGAATTCATTCGGAGTTTGTGGAGTTTGAGAAAGGTGAGGTTTCTTATATTATGGCTTTGGTTTGGATTGCGATAAGCTGGTTGCTGTTTTCTGTGGGGACTGTTGGATTAATCTTTGTGGTTTCTTCTCTCTTCTCCAATGTGATTGCTACATTGGCATTGCCTTTGGTGCCTATGTTTGCCGTGGTGTTTTTCCATGATAAGATGGATGGGGTAAAAGTGGTGGCTTTGCTGATTGCTATTTTGGGGTTTGCTAACTACTTGTATCAGCATTATCTTGATGATTCAAAGGAGAAGAGTAGGAGGAAAGATGATGATTTGTAAGAGAGGTATTGATTTGTACTTATATTTTTTTACTTATATTGTATGGTTTGGGGCTGTTTTAGTGTATATTAGTCCCATTGATTACTGAAAGAACGAATTTTAGGATGCTTTAGTTCACTTTATGTTACTGATTTGTGTATGCTGAACTAAATGGAAGCAATATGTTTGGTTTATGAATCATGTACATTATGATGTAATAAAAAGTTAATCTTAGGTGCACAAATGTTGTTTTGGAAAGAATACAAATTTATTTGGTGCCGTGATTTTGTATGTGATTCTAAAGTGAGATGTGAATTCATTGATCTTTGGTACTTGTAACTCATAATATGTTATCATTTGATGTAGTATGTGTGGTTTGTCAGTTGCTCCTTTGTCTTTAGTTGATTTTGTTGTTAACTTTGCACTCATTAATATTTTTTATGCAGATATAAATAATAAAAATAGTTCTCCAACTTTTTATAAAGGGCTAAATAGTCATAGACTATGTGAAAGTCCAATCTTGTCTCCCGACAATCTAAATGGGAATGAAAGCCAGACTCTTTAAGGGCCCGTTTGGGCCAGCTTAAAAGTGCGGCAGCGTTTTTTAAAACGCCGTCTTACTGTTTGGTTAGTGTGTTTCACGTGCGTTTTTAAAACCCGCGTTTCATTTTTTAGGCTAAACAGTGAACGGGAGGCTATAGGTGTATATCGCGTTTTGGGCAGGCTATTTTCCTTCGCTGCTCTCACTTGCCCTGGTTCTTCGCTCGAGCGATCATGCCCTATATACCTCGAGAAGAAGGCGTATACTGGTAAAAGAAAATCGTGCACCCTCCTCTCCTTCCTCTTCTTCTTCTTGCATTTTCTGGGTTTCTCCTCTCCTGTCTCATCCTCCCTCGCTGTGTAGTTTTTCCTGTGAGAATGTATTTTGCGTTTCATGGCTTTCTGGTGTGATAAAATCATTTTCGGTTCATGGTTACTGTTAGATCCATAAAAATGAACATCGTTTACGTTTTTTTAAGTAAGAAGCAGTTTTTTTAGAGTTTTGTGGGTTGAGATCTTTCAGGTTTTTGAGAAATATGTTCCTCTATTTGATCCATAATAATGTCAGAAATCTTACATTTGCGGTTCATGATTACTATGGTCGGTTCTGAAATTTTTTGAAATTGGGTTGAATTTTTGTTTATTACTGTTTTGTTTTATGTTTCTATGTGAGTTCATTCCTTGTGGTTTTCTTCAGAGTTTCTGGTTTTAAGGAGTTGAAAGTAAGGAAATGAAGAAGGAATTAGAAATGTTTGAAGGATTGAGTTGAATTTACTCATTATTTTGGTTGGCAAGGAATTGAGTGAAAAAAAAAAAAAATTTCTTTTGGTTGATGAAAAATAGAACTTTTTGTTTCTTGTGCAAAGAGGATATTGTGATTCGAAGATGAAGGTTATTTATCAGAGCAGGTTGTATCACATCAAAAATACCTCCACTACTCCAATCAACAACTCTTTCCCTAATTAAATTAAACTTCTAATGTCCTAGATTGGCATGAAATGGGGATAGGCATATCTAAAGAGCAGGTTGTATCACTTACCTAAAAATTGAGACAGTATATGGTTTTTATACCCATTTTCCTATTCCAAAGCCGTCTTGGTTGAATGTAAGCATGGACTACATGTAGGTCTGCCTTAAGCATAATAAAGTAAGGATTTTAGTTTGATTGTGATAGATCGCTTTTCCAAGTCTAACCTTCACTTACACTTGGATGAAGAACATTTCTATCAGGATGGTCGGTAGCATTCCATCTATAGTTATATCATTTTTTAAAAAAAAAAATTTAAAAAGCACGCAAAACTTGTTGTGAATATGTAATAATATTGCAATTAATTGTCCTTAGTTACCATGCATGCCATCTATAACTGACCATGCATGCACGAATTTGTAAGAGGGTTAGCCTCCTTCTATCTTTAACGTAAATGTACTCTTTCGTTTGCATAAAAGGTATTTTTTTTTCATACATGTCATCTTAACATTTGTTTTTGTCACAGTTAAAAATGAGTAAACCTAAAGAGGTCGGATCATCGACCATGTGTGATAGAGAGACCACTAATATTTTTTGTGATCTCTGTCTGAGGGAGATTGAATTGGGAAATAGACCCACAACTTATTTTAATAAAGAAGGTTGGCAGATTCTCAAGACTTAATTCAAAAAAATAAACTAGAAGGGATTACAATTGGATGAAACTAAAAAACAAGTGATATCAATTAAAAAATAGGATTAATTAAAAAAAGTACTGGAAACTATGAAAAGAGCTCAAAAGGGATCAACTGGATTGGGATGGGATCCACTAAAGCGAACAATTGATGCACCCGAGGAATGGTGGGCAGAAACGTTAGAGGTAATTACATCACAATTTCTACATATTTTCAGAGTAAAATGTTTTGAGTAATGATTACATTTTTCTTGTTGTTACAGGCAGTGCCAGCGGCGAAAAAATTCAAATTGACTGTCATTGAACCACCTTTGGAGGATAAGCTGGATGGTATGTTCACTGGCGTTGTAGCAACTGGAGATCATGTTTTCAGTCCAAATGAGCAGGGCTTTGCAATCTTATCACAGGATATGGAGACCGAGCATATAGGTGACTCAGGAGAAGGTCACAACTAAATTTACACATATGTCTAATCTACTGGTGGAACAAAATGTCCTCGACCTGAAAAAAAATAATAAAGGTTTCGCATTTGTTAGAGGTTCTATTGAGACATTGCTCGAAACCTATTGAGACATTGCTCGAAACCTGCAAAAAAAAAAATCCAAAATGGCGAAGGACAACACAATTCAGGAGTGTGTTAAGTTCCTTAACACATATCCTGGTATTAAGGAAGACGAAGCTATGAATGTTAAGTATGTGAAATTGCTAGGGAACTCAACTCGCAGACAGTTCTTTGAGACTTTGGACCTAGAATTCTTACTTGCCTATTTGCGTTCTTTTATGAACGATTGAATGTTATTTTATGTAACTTCATTATTATTGTTGGGTTACATAGATTATTTATGTGATGGACTTATCTATTTATTTCTTATGTACTATAAATGTGATGGACTCGTGTTATGTATTTTACTTTTTCAATCACGAATATGTCGTACATGTATCGTTGTCATTGTCACATATTATTTATTAGCTTGTTTAAAAATCTATCATTTTTTCAAATTTTATATTATGGATGAAGAAGAAATTAATCAAAATTGCATTGTTGCTCTCACCCTTACATTGCTATACCATTAGTACCATGCATATGTTGATCGAAACACATGCATGACGTCGAGTAATATTAGAGATAGATGGGTCAGGTAGTTATTACGTGGTCACCCGACACGTTTCACAAACATGTTTCGTATGACAAAAGTAATATTTCTGGACCTGCTTAATGAATTTTGGACCCTTCATGGATTGCATGGTTCATCAGTAACAACAATTAGAGAGGTGTTGGCAATAACACTTTACATTTTATCCCAGAATGAATCCATTAGAGGAGCTATGGAACGGTTTCAACATTTCTCAGAAACCATCAATAGATATTTCTCAGTTGGGTTGAATGCGCTAGTGAGCCTGGCATGTGAAATAGTGAAGTCAAAGGACCCAACTTTTCAGTTCATCCCCACACATGTTGCAAATGACCCTCGATACATATCATTCTTTAAGGTGCTTCCCTAATTTAAATTTTAGTTACTACAATTATACACATATAATTTTATTATTGATTACTTTGTACATCACAGGATTGCATCGGAGCTATTGACGGAACCCATGTCGACGCATGTCTTTCTGGCACAGAGAAAGTTGCATACATTGGACGGTGCGGATCCCCAAGACAAAATGTTATGGTTGTGTGTGATTTCAACATGTGTTTCACATTCGTGATGGTTGAATGAGAAGGTAGCGCACACGACAACCGTATTTTCAAGTTTGCTACTAGAAACAGAAGATATGGTTTCCCTTATTCACCACCAGGTATGACAGTCCTGTTTTACTTTTGACCATCTGAATTTCTCTAAAATTGCTAAATGCTAGAAAAACTTACACAGGTAAGTACTATTTGGTCGATATCGGGTACCCTTTACAAAGGGGTTATTTGAAACCATATCCAGATACGAAATATCATGTACCTGATTTTGAAAGATCGAGCAGAGTTGCACGAGGCAAGAAAGAAATATTTAACAAAAGGCATTCATCCTTGCGCGGTGTGATCGAGAGATCGTTTGGGGTTTGGAAGACGAAATGGGCTATTTTACGTGATATGTCAACTTATTCATTTCCAAAACAAGTACAGATAGTAGTAGCCACAATGGCACTACACAACTTCATTCGACGACATCACTCCAGGGCGGATGTAGAATTTGTCGTCGTAGAAGAAGATTTATTTCAAATACCACCTGAGGCATTTGAATACCATGTGGGACGTACCATACCACAAATCGAACTTGATTCAGTAGGGACACGCACCCCAGATGGAGAAGGTGCTTCGGAGATGGCGGCTTTGAGATAACAAATAGCAAATGACATAAGCCAAACCATCTAGACATTTGTGAATGTTACTGTTGTGTCGACTCATTCTTATTATTCAGAGTGTTTGTTTATCTATTGTAAGGCTTTATTGTTTTGAGTACGTAATATGTGTGTCGAGCTGCATATCTTCTTAAATGAGTTGTTGATTTTAAACATTTCCTTAATCATCATTCTTACAAAGTTTGAACATTTACATAATAGAATGAGATCAATCTAATATATTAGCCTTTGAAGTTGTTTACTGCAATGGTTTTATGTTATATATGAGCATATTTATGTGAAGAAAAAATAGAAGATGCAATTGTGCTTTTTTTGGAAAATCTTTAGTTCTCAACAATAAACAACAGGAGAATAATTGTGCAGCAGCTTGGACGACCAATGAGGTTTGTTGTTGGCAACCGTTGCTTCCACTTTTTGGGGGTAAATACATAATGATCGCTTCAATAATTTTTCAGCTATATCATTAACTACTATATATAATGTTGTATAGATCATTTCAACTATATAATTCCAGTATTGTATTGGTGTTGGGTACATTCGAATTACCTGTTGCAGTAATGTTCTTCTGGGAGTTATATGGTTGTTGTATTGGGTACCTTCGAATTACCGTAATTAGCTGATGTTTTGTTCTTCTCAGGTAATTTAGTTTTAGAATTGAGAATATATGGCTATTGTATCGAGATGCTATATATGGCTGCAATATGGAGATGCTATACTTGGTGTGGTAAAAGTGATAGTTGGTAATTTTACATAGGGAGGCTATATATGGTTGTTGTATTGAGATGACCATTTTTACAAAAGACACTACTCCTTTTAATTTTTTTTGTGGTTCCAACATTTTATTAGAAAATGTGTCATTTATGTTTATTACTTGGCTTCATTGGAATGGTAATGTGATAGATTCTATGCAATTCATTTTAATAAATCTGTTTTACATCCCAAACGACAATCATATGCTAGTTGTCGGTTCGGTTACCATGTGTTTTCCTATTTGCTGGCTCGGTTAACTTGCTTGGGGGATATGTGAAAACATAAATAGTAAGTTGTATCTTCTCTTCAGAACTCTTGTTAAAAGACCTGCTTGGGGTATGTTTGCTTGGGGAATATTTGTTAGTTGTTGGTTGTAGAGCTTGGTTGTGAGCACATATTACAACTTCAAGTCCTCTATTCTATGCTTTTCTAAAGCAATCTTTTATTCTGTTAGCAAATAGTTATTTCTGTAAATAGTGAGGTTCAAGTATTACCCATCTAAAGATATAAGAACTGAGTGTTATAGATGTTGGTATTGTAAATTACCAATGCACCAATATATAAATGAGCTTTTCATCTGGAACAGTATTGGTTTGGTTGTCTGGGCTACAGATTTGGCTGTCTGGAAATTTTGGCTTTTGGATACAAATGAGGCTAAACATGTACAAATTTTTGTTATATTAGATCACTCTTTTCTTATACAAGATTGTGTTAAACGAGCTGCATATTTGTGTGAGGTAATCTGTGCATGTTCCTTAGATCTGGGATGGAGCCTGTTGCGTCTCATTATAATACGTGGTTGCTATATATGGTTTCTATATTGAGATGGCAACATTTGCAAAAGGCACTCCTTCTTTTACATGACTAAATATGGTTGTTATATATGAGATGAAATTTCATGGGTTAGACATTGCACTTCGGAATGATGCTCTTATACTAGTTTTCTTTATGTTGGATGTTAAAAATGAAGTTTTTAGATGGAATAGAAAGAATTTTTTAGATCACATTGAGCCGCAACTATTCTTTTTGACATAATGGCAATCTTTACATTATTTTGGATCTAGAAAAAACATAATGAGCTACAGTTGTGTTGTGATGGCTTCTCATAGTGTTGAAATTGGTTGGCTTCTCCATACTTCGGTAAGTATATTTTCAATATTTCCTCAATTTTTTTACTGATCTATTCTTTTTTTATTAACTGCTGGACGATGAGTTTCATGGAAGTCCGGGCAAGTGATGTGTCTGTGCGGGCTACCGACCTTGTTACTCACGTCACACCAGCCACATAGCTACGAGAGACAATTTTAAAGGCGCCCGCGGTGGACACAAAAACAGGAGGACTGCACTTTCTTCAGGTGGGCCGACATTACATCTCTTTCTATGAAATCCCAACTGGACCTTGCTGCTCGGAGTTTGTCGGTATCACAATTTCAAAACACCGGTCTTGGTTCTAGTGCTTCCATTTCTACGGTATCCCAGTCGGATAAGTTTGCTCTGGGTTATGGAGTGTTAGAGTCGGGCAGCATGGGCCGTGATATGCTGCTACATTTTAAAGTTAATATTATAATTTTTTTCTTATAATTTTAACATATTATCTTTTCTTCTTTTTTGTGTATCATTATAGTACATATTAGTGTGTTAAATTGTATTTAACTTTTGTTTAGGTAACGGTGTTTCTATGATGTGATCTGAAATGTTTAAGTGATATAAATATTTTGTATTTTCATGTCTTAATATTTGAACTTTAATTTTAAGAATATTTTGTATTTTCATGTTCTTCAATTTTCACATTTATCTCCCCTTTATGATGCATTAAGAAGGTTGATAAATTTATTAAAAAAATTTGCAAATAAACTGTTTACAAAACGCACAAACCAAATAACTTATCCAGAATAAGGGTAGATTGGTCATTTATCCAGAATCACATGTTCTCAAAACACACTAACCAAACATCCAGTCAGCTTATCCGGATCAGCTGGTCATCAGTAGATTATTAGGATAAGCTGCTTATCATCATAAGCTGGATAAACTGCAGCTGCCCTAAACAGACCCTAAATTGAGATGAAAGCAATCTCTCTGGTGGACCATTTTGATTTCTATTTAAGTTTTCTAGAGACTAAATTAACCTTTTACATAGTTGGGGATCATTTTGGCCCCTACAAGTAGTCGGGTGACTATTTTAATTATTTCCTCTCATTTAATCATTTTAATTGACTTTACTTATTCGCTATACTTCAATTTTTTTAAATATCTTTTAAAAATTTTGATTTAAAACATTTATATATGACTCTTGATTAGTGCTACAAGATCCTTGGCGGTTGAGTAATGAATTAACATTGCACGAGAATTCAACACACATTAAAAAGAGAAAAAACAACCCGTAGAGACACTATAAGTTTTTACGTGGAAAACCCAGAAAGGGAAAAAATTGTTAGATCTGGCCCAGTTATAAGAATCCACTCTAAGTTGATGATTATAGAGACTCTGTCTCAACCCAACTTGATATAACTGTCATATCATGGCAGGTCATCTCGTGTTGAAGTAATAACAGATAAATTATTACCCAATATCTATTTGAAATAAATCTATCTAATTTTTCTTCAAGTTTCACACACAGATACACAAATATAATCAAGTTTTATAAAATAAAGGTACTCAAAATTCATTCAGATCATAGAGATATACAACAAAATGAATATATACAACAATCATGGTTTAATCTCTCTATCATCAAACAAGACTAAACATCATCATCACTATCAAAAATAAAAATAAAAAATAATGACATATCTAAAATCAGGCTCTCAGAAGTGATACAAAAGTCTCAACTCATCATGAACCTTACCCTTCCCTGAAACAACACATGTGAGCAAAGTAAGGTAAGCAACCATAAACTCAGTAGGCTATTTAAAATTTACCGCAGTTTTCAATATTAAAAAAATTAACTTGTATTCGATGTAAGTAAATCAAACATGCCAAAATATCATGTGTAGGATTTATTACGGTACCAATACACAAAATTGTGACTGCATTAGGCATATGCTAAATAACAATATAAATAACATGATATCAAAAATGCAGAAAAATAACATGAAAATCAAATTCAGTATTTGATTACTTTAATATTTTCCCTTTGCCTCCTTATAACTCCACTCTACTTATAACTCCACTTATAAATCTCTATATTCATTTACATAACTATCAAATTTTTAAATCACATCAAAAATATTATATATA